ATAGTATTCAGCTAACAAGGAAATATTTAGCAATAAGAGTTAGACTAAATGTGAATGATATCTAATATTTTTTATTCTTTATTTATCTATTATTATATATATATATATATATTTATTTATTTATTTTTTATTTTTTTACCTTATTGGAATCGAAATTAGGATTTTACAAGAATCGGAATCATAAAAATTCAAACGATGCCCAACCTTACCCATACCCCACATTATTTTTTACTGGCACATTTCAATTCACACTGTTTTAAACCCTTTCTTTTCTTTTAAACCCTCATACCCTTCTTTGCTTTTGCCCTTCTTAAAAACAGCTACATAATCTTATACGTGAATGTTTTGTTATAAAACATTTGCTCCTGGCAACAGGGATAGGTAGTTTGTATGTTTAACCTAGCGTCAAACATGACAATTTATGAGACTAATATCATGTTTTGCTCCAAAATCACTATATAACATCAGTCGTGTTTGAAACAGTTAGCTTCTGTGGTTCCATGTTGCTTCTTATCACAGTGAGACAGAAAATATTCTTTATACAAATCTTTACTGTGATACAAGCTATGTCAATTAGCATTGCATTGCAATTGTGTGTTTATTGTCTTCCACGTTTCATCAGTCAAAGCATCTCTATCTGCATGTTATGCAGCTGTAGTGATATCTGATGCATTTGTCCATATAAGGGATTTCCTGGGTCTCACTATTTTAAACACATTTAAAATCATATTGCACAAAAACTGAAATATTAATGCAAAATTATCCGAATTGCACACAAAATCATGTTTTCCTTGGTTATATTTCTCTGTTTTTTGTGCTCTCAGACATTTTCTGCACATATTTTTATTTTTTGTATGCCTATGCTGTTTTTCCCTTTGCTCTTTATTGCACGTTCTGTGCTTCTTCTTCCAAATGTTGCAGTTAGGGTTTCATGTAAATCAGGGAGGGCTAAAACATCATCATTGGTCCACTAGTTCTAGATTGACAGCTCCTCCTCTAGCCAATTAGTCGAAGAGGGGCGGTGACGTCACTCCAACGTGCCTCATCCCTGCCAATGCTCAGTGTTCTGTTTGCTTGTACAGGTGAAAATGGAAACGCCTACCTGGCGATCCGTTAACGTTAAATGAGTAAATCGGTAAATTAATTTTGAATTAATGTAATGTTTTTGTATTGAAAACGATAGTGCTACAGAGTAGACAGTTACAGAGGCCAGGTGGATTTGATATACACAATGATTTATTTGCATATTGTGTTTATTTACATAGCTACATATATAATTGCATAACACTGTCATATTAATGTTTCAAATATATAAAGTTTGAACAACAACAATTTGAAAGTAAAACAGCCAGTAGGTTGCGGCAAGTTACTTTCTTTAGAATAAGACATTAAATCATTCATATAAATGGCTGATTGATTCAGTGAGGAATAAAGCGAATCATTCAATACGAAAGGCTGCTGTGTTGCTTGTAGAGGACACTGTTCTGCTGTGGCTTTGTTTGGACTCTTTGTCGAAATAGAGCAAAATGAGAAAATAGTTACTATTAATAGTAAACTCACTCAAAATATACTTATTGTTATATTGATTCAGTTCAATAAACATTTGCAATGGTCCTGATATTAGGAAAAACACTCTTCCTCGTGTTTTGCTTAACTGTATGTCATAACATAAATTATAGTGCCATTCTTTACAAACAACATTTGATTTAAATGCTAAGCCTATAACTCATTTAAAACTAAACTAAAAACTGAACTTCCTGCTGGGCTCACATACCTCTCATTTCCATGAGTGAATCGTTAGACGCGGTGTAACATTTGGTTGATAAACTATTAGCCTATTTATTTTGTAACGAAGGCTTTGTACTTCTCTCGTGTCTGAATATCTACTTAAGCATCATCCTTCACATATGCAAAAAAATTGTTTGGAAAACACCACGGCATGGCAATGCTCGCGCTGACCAGCAAAACCTACATATTGTACAAAAGACAAGCTAAATTGAGTCACCAATACCTTTCGTATGTTTAGTTGTCTCATTTACTTTGATGATGAAGAGGCTGTGATGTAAAGATTGCAATGCTAGAACTGATTATGTTGTGTGCGCGCGGGAGGCGCCGGCGCGAACAATTGGGTTACTCACATCAGCGGAAAGATGTGATATCCGTCAGATAGGAGCAAGACATCATTCAAAACAATCTATTTTTTATCTGCATACCTTCAAAATAACAGTGAAACCTCTTCCTGAAATGAAGAAAAACTCAGCAATACTGTCTAACGTTATACTTGTCACACAGAATGAGAAATATATTTATAGAAACCTTGAAGTACCCGCTTTTACCTGTTTACGTTTTGCTTATTTGACATTAAATGCATTATATAAGTCACTTTGGAATATAAATCATAGCACGTTCAGAAGGTAAACAATGCAATGTGTAGTCCGGAAAATACCGAATAGCAAAAAATTTTGCTGGACCCCCTGGCTTTGGGTCACAACACGGACCCCAGTTTGAAAACCCCTGCTCTTACTCATATTATCCTCTCCTAACAGTAATAACCATAACAAGACTTATAATCAGTCAGGTAAAGGCGAGCCAGGCACATCAGTCACTTCGCGAGGCCAGTGCATTTAGTGGCTGATCCCTTTCGCAATGTGACCAGAGGAGAATAAATACAGGTGAATATAACCGCGACAGGTCGCTAGGACGGCTCATTTAACGTTAACGGATCGCCAGGTAGGCGTACAGCAGTGACAGACAGACACATATAACGGTGTCCTGTATGGAAAGATGTTTCCCAGCCGACAGTTGTCCATTTTCACCTGTACAAGTGAACAGAACACTGATCCCTTGTCCAAATACCCACACTTGTGGTCTTTGCACTTGACTACTTATATGACGTATGTCCTGTATTTGGCCCAAGTGTTCAAGTGAGGATGAAGACCACAAGTGTGTGTCGAACTTTTCATTACCTGATGGGACACACTTATAGTGTTGTAAAAATGCAAGTGTTTGCATAGCTTTATTTTAATTTTAAAAACTTTGCATTTTAAAATCAACTTCTAAATGTCTGTTCAGTAGTGCCTATAACATGTTTAAGTTGCAGCTGCTTCTAATTAAGTGATGAAAAGCAGTTGCAAATGTTGTACAAAATAAATATCACCACTACGCATCTTTGCACCAGTAAAACGTGCAACACTGTTTTTCTACCAAATTATATGTAATAATAGCCTATCTTATTATTATATTAATATTTCACTTACATTGGAAAAGTTTCCGTAACCTCTTGCGAGATCTCTGCAAAAATCTTACGATTTGTTCCAAAACATGATGCATGATGGGATACACTAAGCCTCGAATAGTGCAGAAAATGTCTGAGAGCACAAAAAACAGAGAAATATAACCAAGGAAAACATGATTTTGTGTGCAATTCGGATAATTTTGCATTAATATTTAATAGTGTTTAAAGTATTTATTTACACGTATTATTTTTTGATCCGTGACCATTGTTTGCTATTCTGAAAACTTTGCTTTCATTTTTACATTTTTAAAATTTTGTGCAATATAATTTTACTTGCGTTTTTAAATTTTGGTTTCACGCTTGTTATTTTTTTTATCCGCAACTGCAATACATTTGGCGGGAATATGATCCCATAGTCTAGCTGCTCCACGTTTGGGGATGACGTCAGGAGACCGCTCCAGGACTTTAGAAACAATCAGACAGTAGAGTACCAATATGAATACCCTTAGCCTCACTCGGTCCTGTATAATAGTTTTCATCAGTTTAGTCATTTGCAGCATTTGTACCGTGAATGGTGAGTAACTTAAATTCTAAGTACTTTTTTAAAATGCTTTTTCCCAGTTGAACCTTCCTAAAAGTATTGGGTGTCACTGCTTCACTGTAACTTAAATAATTTGAGCTTTTGGCTTTTTTACTTTTGACAATAGTTAAGGACATCTTTTTATCGGTTATAATACAGGAAACACAAGGAAATGATACTGCAAGTATTACAGTACTTAAATAGTGAATGTTTCTTATTGTATGAAGAAGTTCCAATCCACTGCAGGGAGGTGGAAATAAATTTGCACTGGACTGGATAATATGACTCACAACTAGAAAATTCTGGAAAATAAATCTGTGCATTGTTGTATAGGAAAGTGCCTTTAATTTCTTGCTCAAGCATAGTCAAAGAACCCTGTTCTACATCTAATCTTAATGAGCTCAGAGGGTAACACAAATCTCCCAGCTTTTCAGGGAGAACGTTGTGTAACGTTTCACTCATCTTAGAAACGTGTGCCTAAGAGCATTTTATGTGCTTACATTCTGTTCATTTCTTTTCTGTCATGTTGGTCAGCCAGAATGAAGCACAATGAATTCTGATGCTTCCCAAACAAAACATGAGCTGCCTTTAATTAGTTTTGTGTTATTTGCTATTTATCTGTTTGCTTTGGATACATTTTGTGCTGCACTGATACTTACACACATAACAATAACACAATATGAGCTCTATTTCATGTTCACTTATCCAGAAATATCATAGAACCTTTCCTACCCTTGAAAAGTATACATCTACTTTTGAAAATTCACTATGTGCATTGGCTATGCTGCTCACATCTCTTATCTTTTGTACTCTCCTGATCCTGTTGAGAAGTGTGAAAAGCGTTCTTTCCCTTTTTACTCCTTTGTATCTCTCGAAGCTTAATATGCAGGACCATTCTGTCTGTTGCCGAATTATAAAATAAGATCTAATTCCAGTCTAATCTTTTGTAATTCCACTCACTCCTGCTTATGTGTGTCTTTGTAGGAGATTACTGCAAGGTGAACCTGTGTCATAATGGAGGGACATGTGTGACTGGCATTGGAGAAGATCCCTTCTTCTGCATCTGTGCTGAAGGATTTGCTGGAGATACTTGCAATGCCACCGAGAATGGTCAGAAATGTTGTTTGTCTGAATTTTCCCGGTTTAATGCTCATTTGAATTTCAGATTAGGTTTACATGGATCAACCTGTTCCCTGTGGAAAGCCTTACTGCTCAGAAAGCTCTTTCATAGCTTAGAAAACTCAATAATAATAATAATTGTGTAGCGTAGAAATTGGAAAAAATGCTTGAATTTTGTGACGTGTTCTGATTTCCGATGGCAGATTTTGGTGTCTTGGCAAATGAACACAGTTTGAAACCTTGTTAAGATTTTTTGTTTTTTTTCAGAAGCAAGGATACATCAGATTACTCCTTTCTTTAGAAGAAAAAATATGAGAGACATGGGAATGAGTCTCCATTTGATTTCCTTAAATCTCATTGCTGTCTAGGAAGTAGTGTTGTCACGGTACCAAAATTTCAGTATTCGGTACCAATACCAGTGAAAATCCACGGTTCTCTGTACCAATTTCGGTACCAAAGCAAAACACAAAAACATGCTAATTGAACAACATTTTTATTAATAACGTTAAACAAAAATTTAATGTACAAAACCAATGCCATTCTTTATACTTATTTAAAATTGTTTCAAGTTTTTCCACAAGTAATAAAAGTATGAAAAAAGTAAACAAGTTTCACCCAAAAGTTTAGTCATAGTTCTGCTGCCACTGAAAAACATCTGTAAACTGTTGTCTGTTTTAGGGTTTGCTGGTGTGTTTCAGGATCTTCCTCAGTCTGCAGCTGTAAAAGGAAAATATAATATACTTAAGTAAAGCAATGGGCTGAGTCTGACCAAATACAACATTAGATCATTGACAACAGCTAAAATATAACTTTTCAGTAAATAACAAACCTCAGCTTTTATAATAAATTTAGATAAGATTACATATATTAAGTGTATATCAAATAGATGGAAACTGTAGTATTAAAAACACTTTACAATAAGATTTTATTTGTTAGATAACATGACCCAACAATAAACAATAGTTATATGGCAATTATTCTTCTTAGGGTTAATTTCAAAGTTCAATCTGTTAAAATTATTTAATGCACAATGAACAAACATGAATGAGTGTTTGTATTAAATAACATTCACAAACATTAATGAATGTTTTAAAAATATATTGTTCACTCACTGTAAGATGTTACTAGATCTAACTCACGTTAGAAAACATTAAGTCACTGTACAGTAAAGTCTATACAGGAGATACAATTTGACTGTACTTTTATTTAATCCAAACTGTGTTCATATTTAATTTTAAAGGGCTTTTAAAACCTGCTAGAGATATTCAGCCAAGAATTACAACTAACAAAAAAAACAACTTTTTCTGGCGGACTGATATGACATAAACACTGTTAACCATACATTTGTACATTCTCAAACACGCATATTTTGGTTACACAGTTCATTTAAAAGCCTCTGGTGTGTAAAAATAGAAAATACCATTATGTCCTCCTGTTTTTTACAGTAATAAAAGTTATAGGAGCATTAAATAGTTAAAGAAATAATTTTGAACAAAATGAACAAAATTCATTCTAATGCTCATTATATTAGCGTTAGCCGCGCTTATGCTAACGATTAACTACGTATACGCTAACGCCGATGTTTATTTCAATCCGAAATTCAAATTAAAATATGGAATAATATTCATAACAGAAGCTCTAAATATTAAAAATGTAATTGAAACTTACCTGCTTGAACTTGATCGGGGTGTTTTGTTAGTTTGATGCGTTTCCTCCTCTTGAGGTCGCCACTGCTTTTAAGAAGAGGTTGCCAGGTTTTCACAACAAAACCCGCCCAATCGCATTTCGAGGGGGTACCCTGTTAAAAATCGCGTTCCGAGGATAAAATACGCATGTTTTGGCGGGGTTCCCCTGGTAAAATTCGCATTCCAGGGGCTAAATATCACGTTAATGGGGTCGTTTTTCAACCCGCGGACATGAAAAACAACCCACGGCAACAGTGTTAAAGCAGCCCAATTCCGCGGGAAAACCGCGGACTTGGCAACACTGGAAGAGGATAGCTTTCGGATAGCGCATCAAGAACCGGGTTGACCGGGTACTCGGTACCACCGGTACTTAAAAAAACCTGGTACCGTAACGTTTTCATTTTTTTAGTACCAACTTGGTACCGAAATACCGGGTCTTATGACAACACTAGTAGGCCTATTTTATTTTATGTACTTTATTTAACATTTATTCATAATAAACTTTATTCGAATGTCAGGAACTTAACGAGGATGGCAGGGCTATTACATTACCATTACTTCATTCAGGTCAGTCTGCCTGAGGAACAGCAACATGGCACACGCTCAGGTATCTGAGACTCAGGTTAGCAAAGTGACAATTACTCCAGCACTAATTAAGCCATCTCCACTTCAGGCTGTGTCTGACCCTCACTAATTATGCATATATGTGGTGGCAGTGGTTTAATGCTTAGGGACTTTGTTAACACAAAGCAAACAGGTTTAATGGCAACAAAAATTGATCCAGGAGCTCTAGAGTTACAGAGATCTCAATCTTGCCCTATCAATAGTGACTTTGAGGAAACCACTAAACCCAAAACAGCAAGTAAAAATCTGAACTACTGGCCTGATCAGGCCAGCAAAAACAATTATTGTGTTTCCTTCTTGTCTCAGTCCAACTAGGGCCTTAATATGCATCCCTAAAACATTAGTGTGTATTAGTTTCTTCTAGGGGTGGGCGCTATACCGGTATGAAAGTGACTACCGGTTAGTGTTGTCACGGTACCAAAATTTCAGTATTCGGTACCAATACCAGTGAAAATCCACGGTTCTCGGTACCAATTTCGGTACCAAAGCAAAACACAAAAACATGCTAATTGAACAACATTTTTATTAATAACGTTAAACAAAAATTAAATGTACAAAACCAATGCCATTCTTTATACTTATTTAAAATTGTTTCAAGTTTTTCCACAAGTAATAAAAGTATGAAAAAAGTAAACAAGTTTCACCCAAAAGTTTAGTCATAGTTCTGCTGCCACTGAAAAACATCTGTAAACTGTTGTCTGTTTTAGGGTTTGCTGGTGTGTTTCAGGATCTTCCTCAGTCTGCAGCTATAAAAGGAAAATATAATATACTTATGTAAAGCAATGGGCTGAGTCTGACCAAATGCAACATAAGATCATTGACACCAGCTAAAATATAACTTTTCAGTAAATAACAAACCTCAGCTTTTATAATAAATTTAGATAAGATTACATATATTAAGTGTATATCAAATAGATGGAAACTGTTGTATTAAAAACACTTTACAATAAGATTTTATTTGTTAGATAACATGACCTAACAATAAACAATAGTTATATGGCAATTATTCTTCTTAGGGTTAATTTCAAAGTTCAATCTGTTAAAATTATTTAATGCACAATGAACAAACATGAATGATCAAGTGTTTGTATTAAATAACATTCACAAACATTAATGAATGTTTTAAAAATATATTGTTCACTCACTGTAAGATGTTACTAGATCAAACTCACGTTAGAATACATTAAGTCATTGTACAGTAAAGTCTATACAGGAGATAAAGTTTGACTGTACTTTTATTTAATCCAAACTGTGTTCATATTTAATTTTAAAGGGCTTTTAAAACCTGCTAGAGATATTCAGCCAAGAATTACAACTAACTAACTAAAAAAAAACTTTTTCTGACTGACTGATATGACATAAACACTATATGACATAAGCACTGTTAACCATACATTTGTACATTCTCTAACACGCATATTTTGGTTACACAGTTCATTTAAAAGCCTCTGGTGTGTAAAAATAGTGAATACCATTATGTCCACCTGTTTTTTACAGTAATTAAAGTTATAGGAGCATTAAATAGTTAACAAATAAATCATTTTGAACAAAATTAACAAAATTCATTCTAATGCTCATTATATTAGCGTTAGCCGCGCTTATGCTAACTATTAACTACGTATACGCTAACGGCGATGTTTATTTCAATCTGAAATTCAAATTAAAATATGGAATAATATTCATACGAGAAGCTCTAAATATTAAAAATGTAATTGAAACTTACCTGCTTGAACTTGATCGGGGTGTTTTGTTAGTTTGATGCGTTTCCTCCTCTTGAGGTCGCCACTGCTTTTATGAAGAGGTTGCCAGGTTTTCACAACAAAACCCGCCCAATCGCGTTTCGAGGGGATTCCCCCGTTAAAAATCGCGTTCCGAGGATAAAATATGCATGTTTTGGCGTGGTTCCTCTGGTAAAATTCGCATTCCAGGGGCTAAATATCACGTTAATGGGGTCGTTTTTCAACCCGCGGACATGAAAAACAACCCGCGGCAACAGTGTTAAAGCAGCCCAATTCCGCGAGAAAACCGCGGACTTGGCAACACTGGAAGAGGATAGCTTTCGGATAGCGCATCAAGAACCGGGTTGACCGGGTACTCGGTACCACCGGTAATTTAAAAAACCTGGTACCGTAACGTTTTCATTTTTTTAGTACCGACTTGGTACAGAAATACCGGGTCTTTTGACAACACTACTAGGAAGAACAATTCAAATGATCTCAAGTAGGCCCGGTTCCAGAATCAAACCACTGAGGGTGTTTCTGAAATTAGTGAGCGTGCTCTAGCTTCATCTATTTGGGAATATCGTATTTTTTATCCCATTCATTGCTATGGTTATCACTATGTCACTCATTGCAATTATGAGAGTGAATCATTTATATGTGGATATCACTCCAGTGTGTATATGGCCATTGGTCCTCTTAGCAGCATGAAAAACAAAACTTTAATTCAAATTCTGAATGGATTATATATAGTCTAGAAAGTGCGCAAAGAGCACTCCCTTTATAATACCTAAAAAGTTGACACTCATCTTAGTTCACTGTGATCTTACAAAGAGTTCCATTATAATTAATGAAGCTCTTTCCACTGCACAGTGAATATCTTATTTACAGCAGGTTAACACTTTGTTTGTTATAATGAGATGATTCGCGAGCATGAGTAACTCAGCACTTAACAAAAATTCCCACATTTTGAGCAGCATTCTAACTGACTTAAACACCTCTGATTGGCCATTGCAGATATGTCAGTGATTAGCTACATTGCTCATCCCTGCAAAAACACGTTGTAAATAGAAACCTTTGATGCAAACACAAATACGCACAACGTTTCGCCAGTATCCTATTATTACAGCTTCAACTGAGGATGATTTTTTTTTCTTTCCTATGGGTTTGTTCATATTTTGATACTCACATCAGAACTTTTAACTGTTTCCACTGCAGGTCCTTGTATTCCAAACCTGTGTAAAAACGATGGGACATGTGAGGTGATCGCTAACTCCAGAAGAGGAGACGTTTTTAATGAATATGTGTGCAAATGCCAACCTGGGTTTGAAGGTGCACACTGCCATATCAGTAAGTTTTGTACCACTTATTTCAGATTTACATCAGACCCTCAATATATGTGCACTAATTAAAAGGGTTTAGAGGGAAGTTTGTATAAAAAAGAAAACTTAAATTTGAACTGAACAAGCACACACATTGGGCCTTATTCATAAAAAGTAGAAGAACACATTTCTGTGTAAATACACAATAATACCAATTCTTTGTCCCATTTTATTAAAACCAACAACTTACCACCGCACCACGTCACGTCTTTAAAATTTGAACACATTGTTTTCTATCGGCGGTGCCACTCGGCGTCTGTCCATGGCGGCTCAGGGCGCTGTTCAAAATCTTGCTGCGCCACTCACATAGTTTGCTCTGTTTTGTCAAATACTGTACTTCAAACTCATCAACGCTACTTTGTTCATTCTTGAAGTGAACATTTGCCTGTTTGGTGATTAGATTAACTGACTGCTATCTTGAACTGAACGCAATGCATCCAGTGCGATACCTGTGAGTTGTCCTAGACGGCGGTGCTGCGCTTCTCGTCCGGTGTGCGACCCTCCTTATGCACAAATTGACTGAGACTCATTTGTGCCCAGTTATGTAATACGTGAAGTTCCTATGATGCATTTGGTGGTTAATTCATGTTAAAACTTATCTCCTTTATGATGAATCTTCTTGTGGCTGCAGGCCCACAGAGACTAGATTTCAGTTACTGCGTGCTGTATAATTTGTTCCACTTTGATCTCAAACATCAGACACACCCAGGATGTTGAGCAGTCAGTGGTGGTTAAAAAGAGCTGTAACCATAGTGAGTTTTAAATAGGCTTTGTTAAAATTGTCCAGTCCACGTATGGAAAGTCCGTTTCCATGTATGATTTAACTCTCTGCTGCCTGAGGTCCTCTATAGTGGACACATCTATTAAAGCCATTTTTAACCATTCAGATTATGTTATATCCAAAGCACCATGGCTGGTTGCAAAAGATCCATACTCGTAATTCTATATAACGAGGTGTGTTTGTTCTATGTCGGAATTACCGTTATTACAAGATTCTGACTTGCGTTAAAACTAACCACGGCAATGTCATGTGGAAATGTTCCAAAATAGCAGTGACTTCAACAGTAAAATGTAGTTAAGTAGTGATTTCATAATATTTCTGACTGTTGTTAATATCTTAATGCAAGATTTATCTGAAAATAAACAAAAGGCATACAATTCAATTTCATGTAGCTAGAACACAGTTAAATAAAGCTAAACCTATAAGTTTATTAATAAAGCATTTGCAAAACAACTGTTACTTGTTGTCATAGTTAATAGTTTACAGTGTTGCCATAGAAATGAATAATTCATAGTCCAAAGATGTGTGGACAGGTCTGAGTAGAATGTCCAGGGTGTCATCTAGTAATTATGGTAATTACAACATGGTGTGAACACAGCAACTGTCCTCTTGGCATTGTGGTTTTTATTTATGACTCATTCAAAACTACTGATGAAAGTGATTCACCACACACCTCTGAACTCCTCTACTACTAAATTGCAGTGGACCAATGCATAATACATAATTTTGTAAAACTAAAAAGGATATTGGAAATATTTATATTCTTGTTTTGAAGTAAAGAGAAATTTGAAGAAAAAATGTTTGGTATTTCATAATTCATGCATCAAAGGGGTTAAAATACAAAGTGAAAAATACTGGTTTTTACAAATATTAGCCTAGCATTGGCACTGAAAAGACCTTCAAATGCAGCCAGGAACATGCCGGACAGACAGCTTCAATGCAATTAGGCAAGACGTAATCAAGCCAAAGAGGTTTTATACTAAGAAGAACAGTACAGACCAGCCTTTGGGCATTAAGAAGGTTCTAAAACACTTCCATCTAATGTCCTGCCAAATTCAAACATTCATTAAAGGATGGAAAGCAACTGACACTAAAACTAAATCTCATTTGTTATTTTACATGTTTGTTTGAATTATTCTGCAGACTGTTAAGTTGCTTTTTAAGTAAATCCCACTTCCTAAGTCTTTTAGTATTCAGTTCAGAATAGATGATGCTCTGATATTATACAAGTTCATAGCTCGCGATAAAAAAAGAGTCCTCAAGACACCTTTTTAAGGAGCACATCTGACCTAGGTTGATTGAATCTTGTCGGGTTGTCACTGCACAGGTGTGTTTGCTTATGTGAATGCGTGTGTGTGTGTGTGTGTGTGTGTGTGTTTGTGTGTGTGTGCGCCAGTTTGCCACATGTGTATCCAGGCCTTGAGCAGAATAATGTTTTTTGTGTTCTTCAATCCTCTTAACAGTTTACGAGCAAAACAACTTCTGTTGTTGAGACATGTGTTTTCTTTTCTATTATAGCCTTTCTGTGTTGTTTTGTGAACAAAAGAATAAGAAACACAGCATTTCTGCATGTATCAGCTAGAATTATTTGGCTGTTAGTTTTGTAATACCTTTATATTTTCATACATATTTTTGTATTAAACTGTAATACTTTTTTCAGCAATTATTTGAAATAGAAATATTTTGTAACATTATTAATGTCTTACCTGTCACTTTTGATACATTTAATGCATCATTGGTGAATAAATGTATTAATTTCTTCAACAAATAAGTAAATAAAATGACTGACCCCAAATCTTTGAACGGTGGTGTACACAGTGAAAAATTATATTTGTCTTACAATTTATATTATTTATACCATATACTGTATTTCTGAGAGAAGAAGTTTGCCCCCTAGTGAAGATGTATAATAACTGCAATAAGCCAGTTTTAATTTAAATTAATAATTGTACTTTAATAAGAAGAAAATTATACAAACAAATATCCTGTAAAGTGTTTAATTTCAGTAAATGTGCTGTAGTTGCCATTTGAAGCAGTTTACTGGAAATGAGGACTGGACTTAGACCATCACACCCTGTGCTCCACACAGAATTCTCTGTCCCCTTTGAGGAAAATTAGAGATCCTGCAGCCACCTGCGTGAGTGCACAGGCTGAGCATTGTGTCACCCCACACCTCAGTCACCACACTTATAATTATACATACTTCAGCTGCAGTTACATGACATCTGTCCCATTACAACATTTTCCAAATTACTGTATACTTACTGTATTATTTTTGGTGTTCTTACACAGATGTGAATGACTGTGCAAACCAGCCTTGTAAGAATGGAGGCCTGTGTCGTGATCTGGATGGGGACTACACCTGCCACTGCCCTTCTCCATACGTTGGGAAGCAATGCCATCTACGTGAGTTTTTATATACAACCAATATTTTCCTGGTGGCAGTGTTTAATTTAGCCTCTTAATTTTGAATGTCATAACCTACATTTTAGGGTGCCATATCGTTGAGTTTTGAGTGTTTCGTTACAAATCCAGAGTATCTAAGGTACAGCTAATGACTAAACCAAGTAGCAGTATGCCAGGAAAGACAATAAAAAGTAGACTTCATGCCCTATTAAATGGTACTCACACTATATTATGGTGCAGGCTGCATATCTCTGTTGGGGATGGAGGAAGGTGAAATCATAGAGTCCCAGATCTCGGCTTCCTCTGTACACTCTGGCATTCTGGGGCTGCAGCACTGGGGACCGGAGCTCGCACGCCTCAATAACCAGGGCCTTGTGAATGCCTGGAGCTCCGCACCCCAAGACAAGAACCCCTGGATTGAGGTTCACCATTTACTCTTAAAACATTTTTTTTTTTTTGCATACAAAATTTTCTTTCATAAAATGGTCCTCTTTACTACAAGAAAAAAAAATCCAAAACAATAGATGGGGGATCCTTTTGAGATGCTTGTGTGACAACTGACAACTTAACAAAATAGGACAAAGTGATTCGGTTTCTTTTTGTGTACATCTGAAAAGATGTTCACACTTCCTGTCCATGATTTTCTCATTTTAGGTTAACATGCAGAAGAAGATGCGTCTCACTGGAATCATCACCCAAGGAGCCAGCCGCATGGGGACGGCTGAGTTTGTCAAGGCTTTCAAGGTTGCATCCAGCTTTGATGGCAAATCATACACAGTGTACAGAGTGGATGGCCAGAGAAAAGACAAAGTAAGAAACATTACAAATCTTGTCTTCCTTATGTGTTAAAAGCTCATATTTATCCTCTTGACTATGACTCTTATTTTTTTCAGGTGTTTTGGGGAAATACAGATAACGATGGAACTAAGACAAACATGTTTGACCCTCCCATTGTGGCCCAGTATATCCGCGTCATTCCTGTGGTGTGCCGTACAGCTTGTACTCTCCGGATGGAACTTGTGGGCTGTGAGCTTAATGGTAATTGCAGTTGAATTAACTATGAATCATTATTTTTATACTAATAGCTTTTTTCATTTTTACTAATTCTTAGCCATTTAGCACTTTCATTTTCCCTAATATGACAGTGCACTCCAGAACAATTGGTTGCACCGATCCGCTGGGCATGAAGTCCCGTCTCATCTCTGACGTGCAGCTTACAGCATCTAGTAGCTTCCGCACCTGGGGTATTGATGCCTTTACCTGGTACCCCTTCTACGCTCGCCTGGACAAACAAGGCAAGACTAACGCTTGGGCGGCAGCGAGCAACAACCGCTCAGAGTGGCTCCAGGTGAGACTGTGAGACGTTGTGTCTAATTTTTTTTACAAAGCTGTGAAAAATAGTCCTTGAAATCATAATTCAGTTATGCTATAAAACCATCGTAACATGATATGTACAGATCTGTCTAAAGACAGTAATAACTCTCTAAATTAATAATGTACTCTATCCTATTTTTTAGCTTTGATATCAATTATTTTGGTAATTGCAGACTGTAGTCTGACATTTGTCTCTTATGTTTTAATGTGTTTTCTCTCATGTCACAGGTGGCTTTGGAGAAACCTAAAAGAATCACAGGCATCATTACTCAGGGAGCAAAAGACTTTGGAGTTGTGCAGTTTGTTTCAGCCTTTAAGATTGCATACAGTTATGATGGACAATCTTGGAGCATTGTGAAGGATCAAATAACGGGAACAGATAAGGTCACAGCAATGACAATGATCTTTATTTTAAATATACACTACTGTTCTAAGGTTTGGGGTCAGTATGTGAGACTGTAAGTGATCGTTTTAATGTTTTTGAGTCTCTTATGCCTGCCAAGGCTGATCAAAAAATATATATATATTAAAACACGAATTTTGTGAAATATTATTGCAATTTTAAATAACTGTTTTTTATTTCAGTATATTTTAAAGTATAATTTATTCCTGTGATGACAAAGCTGAATTTTCAGCAGCCATTACTCCAGTCTTCACTGTCACATGATCCTTCAGAAATCATTCTAATCTGCTGATTTGGTGCTGATAAAAAAAACAGTTTTCAAAACTGTGCTGCTTAATAGTTTTGTGGAAACTGTGATACATTTTTTCAGGATTATTTGCTGAAAAGAAAGTTCAGAAGGATATTATTTATTTGAAATACATATTTGTGACCCTGGACCACAAAACCAGTCATAAGGGTCACTTTTCTGAAAGCTGAGTAAATAAGCTGATTTCCATTGATGTATGGTTTGTTAGGAAAGGACAATATTTGGCCGAGATACAACTATTTGAAAATCTGGAATCTGAGGGTGCAAAAAATCAAAATATTGAGAAAATCGCCTTTAAAGTTGTCCAAATGAAGTCCTTAGCTATGCATATTACTAATCAAATATTTACAGTAGGAACATGGAACATGATCTTTACTTAATATCCTAATGATTTTTGGCATAAAAGAAAAATCTATAATTTAAACCCATACAATGTATTTTTGACTATTGCTACAAATATACCCCAGCGACTTAAGACTGGTTTTGTGGTCCAGGGTCACATTTTTGCAACAATGTGAAAGGATCAACTTAATGTATCCTTGCTGAATACAATTATACAGAAGAAAACGTAGCTGCCCCAAACTTTTGAATAGTACATTTCTTAGTGTTTTGAGTTGGGTGTAGGGTGCAATATCACATGCTTTTGTTTACTGGGTACAGTAAATCTCTCTGTATGAACTTCGAGCTCTACACATTGGTATCTGGATAGTCAGAGGAAATTAAAGAATTATCAAGCTACTAACTCAGCTTTAGTTATTTATATATAACAAAATCCTCAAAGCACGCAGGTCTTACATTCAGTTCTAGTCATTTCATCTGAATAAATGAAATGTTTTTTTCCTGCAGATTTTCCAAGGCAACATAGACAACAACACGCACAAAAAGAATTTGTTTGAGCCTCCGTTCTTTGCCCGATTTGTGCGGTTTCTGCCCTGGGAGTGGCATGAGCGAATAACTGTACGCATGGAGCTGCTGGGCTGTGATGATTAGTGGACTTGCTGAAGGCTGCACACTGCCCCTCTCTGCACTTGTTTCACCTGAAGTGTGTCTGCTGGTTGTAGCTGATGTTTTGTTTCAGTATGCATTAGCTTCATCTGTATTGCTTTGTATTTTATTGTTAATCAATGCCATTATTTTGATGTGTTTTGAAAAAGCCTTTGGGCACAGTGATGATTTTATGAAGTCACCTAAGGTAACCAAACAGTTGAGGGTAGCCATTGACTTCCATAGTATTTTTTTTTTCTCTATCCTATGGAAGTCAATGGCTGTTTGGTTACCAACACTATTCAAAATATCTTCTTTTGTGTTCAAAAGCTGAAAGAAACTAATACAGGTTTGGAACAACTTGAGGGTACGTAAATGATGGCAGAATTTTCATTTCTGGGTGAACTATCCCTTCAAATATTTTTCAGAGAATATTACAACATTTGAAGAACCGTTAACCTGTAAGGAAAAATAGACTCATTCTAATTCTTAATAAAATTGTCTTATAACAACTGACCATTCTTGTATTTCAAAATTTAACTTTTATTTCTCATCTTTGGTCACCAAGGTGATTCAACCTGTCTGCCTTCTAGCACATGTACAGCACTGATCTGTAATGGAAAAAGGTCAACTTGTATTCTGTGTATCTATTTTTGTTGTTGTTGTTGTTAGCACACAAAAGCTGTCTAATTTTTTTTTTTCTGAAATGTTCTTGATATATGGGTTTGTCAGAAACAGTGCTGAAATTAAATTAGAAATGAATTGAAAACACTATTAATCTTCCTATTGAAATGTCTTCATTCTCACTTTAAAGGTTTAAAATAAGCATGGTAGAGCTGCTCAAATCAATTGACCTATATTTGCACTGCAGTTGCTCTACACTTTATACTATAGTTTATATAATTTATAAAACAAATGTATTTGAGTCAATAGAATTGTACAATTGTGCAAATATTGAGTGTTTTTTTCTTTTGTAAAACACATTGTCTTTAACAATATTAATAAACATGTTCAATATTTGTGCTTCTCCTTACATGTAGTTTAAACTGAAGAAGAAATTAAGTATGTGCTTTGTCAGAAATAAAAATGTGTGTGAGACTAGGTGATTAGTCTTCTTATCTCATAAAAAAACCTGGTAGAATTGGGAGCATTGCCTCAGTAAATGTCATGATGAAATCAGCTTTAGATTCCCTTCTTCAAGTCAAAAGCATTGAGTGTATTGCCAGTTTACCGGCTAAGGTTTATTACACAGGGATCTATGACTTTTCAGCACCTGGAATCTCTAAACAGTATGTGCTTTTGGGGTCTGTTTTTGAGGTTTACACTAATAAAATAATTTACTTTATAAATATCATGTCCCTGGACTAGTAGTAGATTTGTTTTATGTTTATTAAATAAATAATAATATAGCAGTAGGTATTTTAAAAAACAGAATTATTATTAAAAATTTAAATAAATTTGGTATTTAGTTAGTATATTATAGATATTTTTTGATGCACATGAAATAAATCATTTGAAAAATGTAATGTGAAGTGCTGTTTTCCATATGTAAATGATTTATTCTGCCATTTGTAGACAACACAAATCTACCAGACAAAATGTCATGCTTTAAATCAACCAGAAGATGGCAGTAGGCAACACGGCTTCTATATTCAATTCAGCTTCTATAACCAGGCTCTCTAGGCAACATGGGAGAAACAGATTAGGGCATTAAAAACAGCCTAAAAGGGGTTCATTTAGTCACAGGGAAGTTCATTCCTTCCACTCCACCCAATAAGGCAAACATTATCATCTGTTTCAAAAATACATTTCTAGACTGGGTTGGGTGAGGTAAAAACCATTTCCTTTCCATTACCTGCATAACCTCACTGAGTAGGCCTACCCCTTGCCCTTCATTCCTGCTCCGCATGACAGACTACTGGCCAACACACAAATCAGTCCTGTATTAAACATGATGTATGGAATATTTTAATGGCACGCTGTTGCATTTGCTGTAATACACTTATTCAAACACAAAGTTCATCTGATGACATTCCTGGAAAAATGTAGATTCTCCTACTTTAGAAGACAACAGATTATCACAACTACAGTAATTGTCACATGTTCTTCCGCGTTTTCACTGTTGACTTTGATCACTCATACATCTCAATTAAAGAAATGATGGGTTTTCTATGCCACAGAGTATCAAACTGCTTGCGATTCATGAAAAAAAAATGCTTTTCAAGAAATGTTTGTGCATATTCTGCAGTTCATGCTACATTCGTCATTTCAGCTGTATCAGATGAAAATAAAGCTATGCTGTATAAAAGAGAGCTCCTGCTGCCTTTGGGATGAAAGAGGCACAGCCTCTTGTACTAATTAAGCAGTCTCATCACAGAAACAGGCAAAATGTAAAATATTCACAAGGCTCTTGTCATTAATAGTTCTGAACTATTGTTATAGAATTGCTGTTAGCTGATCCAGGGTCATTCTTGTCCCCATGTAGTACCATGCCCTGCACAGTCTTAGGCGACAGATAGCATCTAACAAACAAGTACATTTTCATTGTTGGGTTTACATTCATAATCTGACTGAATTTGGCCATCTCTGTCTGATGTTGTTTAAAGGAATAGGTCACTTAAAAATGAAAATGTGCTCACTTCCAGGCCATCTAAGATGTAGATGAGTTTGTTTCTTCATCTGAACAGATCTGGTGGAATTTAGCATTTTACCACTTGACAGTAATTGTCACATGTTCTCCCGCGTTTTCACTGTTGACTTTGATCACTCATACATCTCAATTAAAGAAATGATGGGTTTTCTATGCCACAGAGTATCAAACTGCTTGCGATTCATGAAAAAAAAATGCTTTTCAAGAAATGTTTGTGCATATTCTGCAGTTCATGCTACATTCGTCATTTCAGCTGTATCAGATGAAAATAAAGCTATGCTGTATAAAAGAGAGCTCCTGCTGCCTTTGGGATGAAAGAGGCACAGCCTCTTGTACTAATTAAGCAGTCTCATCACAGAAACAGGCAAAATGTAAAATATTCACAAGGCTCTTGTCATTAATAGTTCTGAACTATTGTTATAGAATTGCTGTTAGCTGATCCAGGGTCATTCTTGTCCCCATGTAGTACCATGCCCTGCACAGTCTTAGGCGACAGATAGCATCTAACAAACAAGTACATTTTCATTGTTGGGTTTACATTCATAATCTGACTGAATTTGGCCATCTCTGTCTGATGTTGTTTAAAGGAATAGGTCACTTAAAAATGAAAATGTGCTCACTTCCAGGCCATCTAAGATGTAGATGAGTTTGTTTCTTCATCTGAACAGATCTGGTGGAATTTAGCATTTTACCACTTGCTCACCAATGGATCCTCTGCAGTGAATGGGTGCCGTCAGAATGGGTGACAGCAAACAGGCGATATAAACTTCACAATAATCCACAAGTAATCCACATGGCTCTAATCCATCAATTAACATCTTGTGAAGGGCAAAGCTGTGTGTTCGTAATAAACAAATCCATCGTTAATGTGTTTTTAACTTCAAGTCCTCAATCCATATTGATTTCTCCAGTGAAAAAGTTGTCTCGTCTGAATCAGGAGAGAACTATGCACAGATCAAGTACCGTTTATAAGCAAAAACTGTCCAAAACAGTTCTAAACAAATATATTGGTGAATTTTAACATGAAAGGACAACAGGGGATGGACTGGATTTCCACTGGAGGAATTGTTATTATGGATTATGGACTGGTATTTTGGCCAGAAGCAGAGGTTTAAGGTTAAAATGTCTTAATGATGGATTTCTCTCTCTCCTTTTCCTTATATTTTATTTTGTCTAGATAATTATGTTTGCATTCTATTCTATATTATATTATATTCTACTTATATTTGTATTTTAGTAGTGACTTTTATTGTGCATTCATGTATCTGTATTTTTTCAGTATTTTACTTTTTACTCCCTTTTCTTTGTAAATTTGTATATGTGTGTAAGATGCTCTGTTTCTGTTTTTAGGGTGACTTTTTAACATTCTGTCAAGGGTCTACAGATGAAAAATAGCCTTTTTGGCCAATTCTGGCACATTTACAGTTATGTTTATTAATGTGCATTGCCCCTGTAAACAAATAAACTAAACTAAACTTGTTTCTTACAAAAACACAAGATGTTAATAGATGGACTGGAGTCGTGTGGATTACCTGTGGGTTGTTACGTTTTTATCAGCTGTTTAGACACTCATTCTGATGGCACCCATTCACTGAAGAGGATCCATCAGTGAGCAAGGGTTACATTTCTCCAAATCTGTTCCAATGGAGAAACAAACTCATTTACATCTTGGATGGCCTGAGGGTGAGTACATTTTCAACAAATGTTCATTTTCAGAAGAACTATTCCTTTAATTATATATGGCTTTTATGAGGAAAAAGATGAACACACCCAGTCAAAGATGGATGTGCTATGTTTATGCTATGAGATATCAATAAATAGATCTCATTTCACATTATGTTCTTCAACCCAGACATAACAAAGTAATGACGTCATTGTGAAAGTTGTTTTCTTAATCTCTCTGGTTAGGTATTAGAAATAAATACGATTATTTGTAAATGTCTTTTATGGCCATAAACGTTTCTAGGCTTACATCTCCTCTCCATAAACTAGATGAAAATAATACTTCAAATTTCGTGACATCATTTACGTTGTGCATGTACCTAAAATTTGGCTTACTAGCAAAGACAAAAACGTTTTTGTGTCCTTCAAAGAGGAAAAACTGGGTACATCCAACTCTTCGCTCTTCTCTTCCTTTTAACATAAAACACTAGCTGGTCCAAAAGGAAAACCTCTTTTCCTCAAAAGGAAAAGTCTTTGATCTTTTGGTCTCGGATATTTTGCTGCAGGGATGAGATGAATCACTGCATCATAGATGATGGCCAATAACTGACATCTGATGTATAGGGGGCAGCAATATACAGATGGGCACTTATCTTGAAAATAACACTTTTTAATCACAAATGCTTCTTAATTCAGTGTCTTGGAAAATAAATATAAAACTTGTACTGATTTAAAAACGACTCTCTAGCTCTTCAAATCTCCTTAGAGATGTTTCTCCAATGTTGTTGCAATAGATTTATGAGAGTGATGAACAGAAGAGTCCTTTTGCAGTCCAGATTTGTCCTCTATAAATACAAAAACAAAATAAATCATGTCAGTACCTTTTACATA